ATGAACATTCTCCCACGACAACCAGGAAATTCGCTTCACAATGCTGTCAGGGAAGCTGAACGTCTGAGGAGTAAGAGGACATTTATCTCAACAAGACATTTATGAGTTACAACAGGAAAAACAGTAACTGCAGTGGCTGATAACCTCGGCCAAGCGATCAAAGGGACATGGCCAGGAGTGCACGGACCCAAGTCACTGGGAGGAAGGGACAGGACGGGGCTCCCTGAGGCTCCTGTCTACACTCTAGAAACAAAATCCACTGATGACGAAGTGCCAGACGACCCAAGCAGAGGGATGGGCTACAAGCTAATGGCCTGCACTCTTCCAAAGTCAATGTCATAGGGCACCCAGAAAGACAGCGAACAAAGAGACTGGAGGCTAAGTCAACATATAGGCCAAGCGTTTTCTTTGCTCTCGGGGACATTATTACAAGACTGACAATGAGTCAGTAAGGCCCACAGCCAGATTAACAGCATCACTCCCTCCTGCCTCTGGAAGGCCTGTGTGGGTCCTTAAGAGACTACCCTTGCCTTCTGCAAACACACTCGGGGGCATCAGGTCTGCGACTGACTTTCTCTTAAAGGGTTCCGGGAAACAATAACCGGAGAAGCTAAAGGTAACGTGATAAAATGCTAATAAGGGGACAATCTAAAATGCTAAAAATAAATCAGTCAAACTATATCTCAATTTAAAAAATTATTGTCGAGGCCAAGAGACAAGATGGAACCATCAAAGGAGGACAGACCTTGGAGTTCTGACCCCGAGCCTCCCACTATGTGGCCTTGGGCAGGTCTCATCAACTATGACTGAGAGGTAATCGTCCTGTCTGTTTCCTTACTGGTGACCAGCGAGCTAAGGACTGGGACAGCACTTTGCAAGAGCTCAGGAGCCAGATGGAGCTCATATGAAATACGGTTTCCCTGGGGATGAGTCTAAGCTGCCCTCCTTTTCCAATGAGAAAACAAGTCTTTCTGCAAAGGGAACCATGGCCGGTGCCACGATGGGGCCCCCGGAGCAGGTGAATTCTGGGAGCCTGGGTGTGGGCAGGCTTCTCTCCAGCCTCCTGCTGTACATGGCTGCGTTCAGTTTTACAGATGGTTATTTTCACTTAACATTGTATCATAACATTTAAAAAAAAATGATGTGTAGAGTTCACAGCCAGGATTGGCTACATAACATTTCCAGTGGGGCTGGCATCTATAACTTACTATTTCCTGGACATTGAGGTTGCTTTCAGATTCTCTCCCTGACAACAGTGCCTCACAGACTCCTTTGCACATACAGCTTTGTGTGCATTTTAGATTATCTCCTTAGACTAGGTCTCTATAAATAGGATTACTGGATCAAGGGGTATGAACCAAATACTTTCCACGTGGATTATTCCAATTTACATTGCCAAGAACAATGTAGGAAAATACCAGTTTCATCGGCATTTAGCACGTTCGTGTTCTGCCTTACTATTTTTTTCTTAATTAAAAGAGAAAATGATACCTCAATGCCATAACTTGCATTGTTTTGAGTACTAATGGGGCTAAAGTTTTCCCCATATATATTTACCAACTTTTACTATTTTGCCTGAATGTGGCCTTTGTCCAGTTATCAGGATAATTGTTGGTTTATTTTTTTAACCCCTTATCATTTCGTTTTAATCCTCACCTGAGGATATCTTCCCATTGGTTTTCAGATACAGTGGGAGGGAGGAAGAGAGGGAAGGGGGGAGGGAGGGAGTGAGGAGAGAGAGAGAGAGAGAGAGAGAGAGAGATTGAGAGAGAAAGAAAGAAACATCGATGTGAGAGACACACATTGATTGGTTGCCTCCCAAATTACCCTGACCCAGGGCTGGGAATCAAACTGCAACCAAGGTACGTGCCCTTGACTGGAATTGAACTGGAAACTCTTCGGCCTTTAGGTGGAGGTGCTCTAACTGCTGAGCCCGATCGTCCAGGGTGGATATTTGTTGGTTTAAAAAAAAAATCACTTTAGCCTGCTGGTTTGGCTCAACAGTTGGAGTGTCTGCATGTAGGCCAAAGAGTTGTTGGTTCGATTTCTGGTCAAGGGCACATACCTGGGTTGCAGGTTCAATCCCCAGTCCTGGTTGGGGTTGTAAGAGAGGCAACCAATTGATGTGTCTCTCTCACATCAATGTTTCTCTCTCTCCACCCCCCCTTCCACTCTAGCTGAAAAAAAATCAATGGAAAAATATCCTCAGGTGAGTAGTAACAACAACAATAAATCAATTCATAAAAACTCTTTATGGAATAAAGATAGCAACCTTTGGTGTTGTCATATTTTAAAATCTTTCTAAGACCAGAAGGGTTGAAAGAGTGAACTGATTTTCAGTTGGCTGAAGTGGTAACAAGTGATGACGGTCTAGCCCATGTCTGAAGATGACATTTCTCACGCCAACGGGCACTGAACCAACACAACTGATTCTTCAAAGACGCTGGAGAGTCCTTAGTACCGTCATTAGCTCTCTAGTCTGGGGTGGGGGGTGGGGGGTCTAGGTCAATAGATGAACCTGTTAGACAGGTTTTACCAATTCTCTCAGTCTACTAAAATGTGGGTGCTTACTTCTGAAAGGGAATAAACTGTCCAAGACCCTTTCTAGCTTGGACACAGGTACAGTTGTCCCTCGCCACTTCGTGCTTCGACTTTGGCGGCTTCACTCTATTGCGGTTTTTTCAAACATATTCATTAAAAAGTTGATCCAGACAGTGAAAATGATACAGCGCACACTTTGTTGTCTGAGTCAATGATATACTTCTGTATTACAATTACAATTAAAATTACTGTACGTATGGACTGTAGGCCTATGTATTCGAGCACCCAGGACTCCTTCAACGTCAGGTGCAACTGCTGGAGGCTGGAACGGATTAACCGCGATAAACCAGAGACGGCTGTATTTTCTTTCTTTCCTTTTTTTTTGTTAATCCTCACCCAAGGATATCTTTCCATCATTTTTAGAGAGTGGAAAGGAGGGAGGGGGGGAGAGAAAGAGAGAAACATCAATGTGAGAGAGACATATCGACTGGCTGCCTGCTGCACAACCCCAGACTGGGGTCATGGATCGAACCTGCAACCCTTTGGTCCTGATGCTCTAAGTGCTGAGCCAAACTGGCCAGGACTCTCTTCTTTTTTCTTTTAAGAAGTAGGTGGATCGCCCTGGCCGGTTTGGCTCAGCGGTGAGAGCGTCGGCCTGTGGTCCAAAGAGACCCGGGTTCAGTTCCCGCTAGGGACGCGTACCTCGGTTGCAGTTTGTCCCTGGCCCTGGTTGGGTCAGTGCTGTGCGGGAGGCAGCCACTCGATGTGTCCCTTTCACATCGATGTTTCTCTCTCTCTCTCTTCCTCTCTCTCCCTCCCACTCTATCTGAACAAAAAATGGAAAAATGTCCTCAGGTGAGGATAAAAAAAAAAAAAAAAAGAAGTAGGTGGATCATATTCAATGAACGAGATAAATAATTTGCATATTTTTTTAAGGCCAGAAGGAGACACACAGACTTTCTCAGGAGGACTTTCCTAAACATCACAGAAAACCCCCTAGAAGTGAACAGAAAGAACTCACAACTCAGGTGTCTTAGGAAAGTTGTCTTTTCTATAGGAACCGCGCTCAGCTTATCTTTATCACTTTAAAAAATATATTAGATTCAGTATTTTTTAAAAAGGTGGGGGGGGGGAGAAGAGATTCTTGCACAGAAAGTCTTGGGCACTTTCCCAAGTACATGTGAGCTCTGGGTACACACTGCCCACGCCCAGCCAGCCTGCCAAGGCCCAGGTCTTTGAAATGGCCACAGTTCAGGCAGGATGCTGCGAGGGGAGGAAAGGCAGCCCCCATCTCCGTGGACCTTTGCAGCATCCAGGGCACTGTTTGAATGGCTCACTGCAGCTCTGGCTTGAACAGCTGAGAAGCAGGCCATTTAGTTTCCCAGGGTCCAACTGGCCTCCATCCAACAGCTCTGAGGTCAAGTGACTCTTCAGGCTTGTGACCTCACTGTTGTGACACCCAGGTGACCTGTCTCTACTGAAGTGCTGACTGTCCTCAATTTTTGGAAAGCACTCAAACATTTAACAGAGAGGACCTATAATTAGGGCAGTATTTGGTGTTCTTATCTGGGGAGGGAGAGAGGAAACATGCCCTACAAAATTCCTGTCCCGGTTCAACACAGGACAGCACCAGATGTTTGAATCTTCAAATTACACCAGGAAGGGGCCAACCTTCTTCCTTAGGTGAGGGGTATTTGATGAGATGCTTCAATGCCAGGGCAGGACAAGGCTTTCATTTTCCCTATGCTCACATAGTCCAGGCAGCTGGTGGCCCTCTTCCAGACCAGCCACGGCTACTGACCTCAGCCTGAGTTGCTCAACTCTAGCAAGTCAAGATCCTCTAGAACAGAGATAACAACAGACAGGGGCCTGGGGTTGAGAGATGAGCAGAGAGAAAAGAAAGTCTTTTGTACATTTTACACGGAGGCACTGCATTTGGCAGAAGGCTAGGCGAACGGGCGGCCTAGGAGTAGCTGAATGCACCACACCTGGGGCTCAGGGTGTGGGTGGTGGCAGGGGATTGGGAGCTGGCAGGCTCTCCAACCTGGGGCAGCCACCTGACTCATCACCCAGCCTGGGATCCAGGTGCTTCTCCCCATGTGCAGCACAGATGGTCAGAACTCAGTGAAGCAGGAGCTGAAGGGCTCAAGGGTGTCCTGGCTCCCCATGCGCCTCTAAGTTCCCGGAGCCGAGCTCTAAGGGCGAGCTCTGGCCCTCCTCCCTCCAGGTGCTGAGCTGAGGCGCCCACCTCGCGGAGATTCAGGCGGGGGCAAGCAAAACGGGGCGCCCTGGGCGGTGATGCTCAGGACAGGCCCACCTCTCAAGCAAGCCTGACATCGTCCCGCTCATCCAGGGCTGCCCTGGGGAGTGAGCAGGCACTGCCCGCTGGGCGCCCTGCCAGGGACTCCACCGAGACGTGGGCGCCAGAGGGCTCGAGGGCCCCAGGGGCGGCCACCCACCTGACGACGTGGAAGGCCCAGAGCAGGCGGCCGTACCGGGGTCCGCGCGTGGTGCGGACAATGCTGAGGTACAGGTAGAGGGCGATGGCCACGGTCCAGAAGAAGGAGCTGGTGTTGGCGAAGGTGGAGAGCGCGCCCTGCAGCACGCAGTCCCACGAGGGGCCCGAGAAGTCCTGCAGCACCCCGTAGAAGTAGGAGGCGGCCGACAGCAGGTCGGCCAGCGACAGGAAGAGCAGCAGGCGCCGCGCTCGGCTGCGCAGGTCGGGCCACAGGGCGTGCGTGGCCACCAGCAGGCCCGAGCCGAGCGCGGACAGCACGCACGACAGCAGCACCACGGCGCGCTCCGACGGCACCAGCACGGTGGGCGGCGCGGGCGGCGGCATGGCCGGGCAGGGAGCGGGCCGCGGCGGGAATACGACGGCGCCACGAGGACAGACGCCGGGCCGCCGGTGCGGCCGCCGCCGACTCGGCACCCAGGCGCCCGCCGCTGGAGTCCCGACCCCTCCGCGCCCGCGAGCTTCGGCCCCTCTCCCCGCCCGGGCTCCTTGGCTCGGCCCGGGCCCCGCCCAGGCCCTCACGCCCCGCCCCCGCGCCCTCCGCCAACCATCCCCAAGGCCCTCACGCCGGGTCCGCGCTCAGGGTCCCGCCCTTACGCCCCGCCCCGGCCCCGCCCCCGCGCCCCGCGAACGATTTCACACCACGCCCCTGAGCCCAAATCCCGTCCGCGGTCGGGCTCCTAGAGCTTGAGCCCCACCCTTCGGAAGGGCCAGCGCTGCTCTTACCAGTTGGCTGGGAAGTCTGGCCCTGGAGAGCCAAGGACTTGCATTTTTAGGGGTAGTGTTACCTTCCTTCCTTCCAGCCTGTGTGTGGGGGAGCGGGGGATGGAGGCATTCTTTCCACTGGTAACAAAACAAGTCTGCATCTGTGATCCTCCTTCCCTAAGCACGGGTACAGAGTGTTCACAGGGCGGTGGTGGCGACTTCCCCAAGGGGTGTGGGCAGTTTTTCTTTCAATGAGCACACTATCTTGAAAAACATTAATCTCGCCCTGGCGGGTTTGGCTCAGTGGTTAGAGCATCAGCCTGTGGCCCAGAGAGACCCAGGTTCGGTTCCAGCTAAGGGCACGTACATCGGTTGCAGTTTGTCCCCGGCTCTGGTTGGGTTGTTCGGGTGGCAGACACTGGGTGTGACCCTTTCACGTCAATGTTTCTTTCTCTCTCCCTCCCACTCTATCTGAACAAAATATTGAAGAGTGTCCTGGGTGAGGATAAAAAAATAATAATAATCTTATTAGGTGTAATTTTTTTTTAAAAAGAAGCAGTCCCAATTAATTGGTTTTCTCATGATTTCATATTTTTAATTGAGAAATAACTTACCATAAAATTGGCACTTGAAATACACAGGTCAGTCGTTTTTAGTAGATTCACAAGTTTATGTGAGCATGGTTATTGTCTAATTCCACAACATAGTCATCACTCCCCAAAAGAAACCCATTTAGTGGTCACTGCCTATTTCTCCCTCGCCCAGCTCTTAGCAATCACGAATTCACCGTCTGTGCCTACGGATTCACCTCTTCCAGAGGGTCCACACAGATGGAATCAAACAATAGGTGGCCTCTGTCACTGGCCTCTTTCACTTACCATGTCTTCGAGGTTCATCCATGTGGTAGCAGGTATCAGTGCTTCATTTCTTTCTTTCTTTTTTCCATTTTTTGTTCAGACAGAGTGGGAGGGAGTGGAAGAGAGAGAGAGAGAAACATCGACGCGAAAGGGACACATCGAGCGGCTGCCACCGGCACGACCCAACCAGGGCCGGGGACAAACTGCAACCGAGGTACGTGCCCTTAGCAGGAACAGAACCTGGGCCTCTCCGGACCGCAGGCCGACGCTCTAACCGCTGAGCCAAACCGGCCAGGGTACTTCATTTCTTTTTATGCCAACAATATTCCCTCATGTGCATAGACCACATTTGTTTTTCCATTCATCAGTTGATGGTCATTTGGACACTTTTTTGCTATTATGAATAATGCTGCTATGAACATTCATGTATAAGTTTTTGTGTGAACATATGTTTTCAGTTCTCTTGAAGTGAAATTGCTGGGTCATATGCTTACTCAATGATTAGCGTTGTGTGGCTGCACCATTTTCTATTACTACAACAATGTATGATATGAAGGTTGCAGTTTCTTCACATTCTCCTGACATGGTTTATCTGCTTTTTAAAAATATGGTTTTATTGATTTTTAAAATTTTTTTAGAGAGAGAAACTGGGAGAGAGTGAAAGAGATGCATGGATCGGCTGCCTCCTGCACACCCACTGCTGGGGAATCGAGCCTGCAGCCTGAGCATGTGCCCTGACCGGGAATCGAACCCTGTCCTCTTAGTCCATGGGACAACCCTCAATCCACTGAGCCACACTGACTGGGCTCTTTACTTTCTTGATAGTGTACTTGGAAGCGCAGGAGTTTTTATTTTGTCCCTGTCCACATTACCAACTTTTTTTTTGTTACTGTGCTTTCTGGTGTCCTATCTAAGAAACCACTGCCTGATCCAAACTCACGAAGATTTACAGCCAAGCCCTGGCTGGTTTGGCTCAGCACGTGGACTGAAGGGTCGAAGGTTTGATTCCCAGTTAAGGGCATGTACCTGGGTTGCAGGTTCAATCCCCAGCCCCAGTTGATGTGTCTCTCACATCAATGTTTCTCTTTCTCTTCCTTCTTCCCTTCCACTCTGTCTAAAAATCAATGGAAAATCATTGGGTGAGGATTAACAACAACAAAAATGAATAAATAAAAGTAAACATTCTTAAAAAAAAAAAAAAAAAAGACCATCTACAGGAAGTTTTCTTTCTTGCCAGTACCACCTGGTTTCAGTTACTATAGCACTGTAATATGTTGTGGAATTAGGGACCAACACTGTTTTTGCTTTTTCAGTATTGTTTTGGCTGTTTGGAGTCCCTTGCAATTCTGTCTCAACTTGAGGATCAGCTTTTCTGTTTCTGCAAATAAAGCCCGCTGGGATTCTGACAGGGATTGTGTTGCAGCTGTAGATAAATCGGAGGGAATAATGCTATCTTAATGATGTTAAATATTTTTATCCGTGTACATGGGATGTCTTCCCATTTAATTAGGTCATCTTTAATTTCTTCCACTGATGTTTTGTAATTTTCAGAGTTCTTTAGATTTGAGTTTGCCTTTCAGTCATAAAAGGCAGATTATCATAGGTGTAGGTTTATCTTCTTGTAGCTAGCTTTTAAAATCATTGATTATGAACTATGCATACTGCAAAGTGCCTAACATACAACTGTATGATTTAATAAATAATTATAAAGCAAGTAGCCATCCAGAGCGAGAAATATGAACATTACCAGCACACCAGAAACCTCTTTCTTCCTCCTCTGTCATTCTCTTGCCTTTTTAAAAAACAACATTCATGTATGTGTCCCTAAACAAAATAGTATAGTTTGCCTGTCATTGAACTTCATACAAATGGAATCATACTCGGTTACCTTTTGCATCTTCTGTTTTTTGCTCAACATTTTTGTGAGATTCATCCACATTCGTGCATGAAGTTGCAGTTCATTTTCATTGCTGTATAGTTTTCCACGATAAAAATAATATGTTTATCCATTCTACTGTTTTGGGATATTTGGGTTGTTTCCAGGTTTTGGCTATTACAAGCCATGCTAGAATGAGCGTAAATTCTCTCCTAATTAGGAAACCAGTTACTAAAAGCAATTCTCAGCAGTCTGAGCAAGCGTGTTCATGGACTTGGCCCTGCAGAGAGCCGAGAACAGCTGCCTTCCTTCCACGTCACTCCAGAAGCCGCTGACCTCCTCCTGAGAGGACCCCAGGCCATAAACAGACCCTGGCTGTCAGTGAAGCCTCTCAGCTTTTTACTGGTATGAATAGTTTCAAGCTTGGGTTGTGCAACTAGCCCTGGGCTTTGGAATTATGGCTGGGCAAGAACCTGGCATGGACTTTCTCCCCAGATCATAGTCATGTAATCCTTAGGGAATTTAGGGGAGAAAGTGGAACAGGAGAGGTCTCTGGCAAGCTGCTTTGTGGGCAGGTCAAACCTGGCGAGCTCTTTCCTGCTTTATCGGGATGGAAGCGCTCTGTTCCCCTCCCCAGGCGAGTGGCTCACTGTTTGATCAGGAGACTGCTTGGCTTTCTTTGCACTGGAAGTCAATATGCAAAGAACCTCCACTACTGGGGAAAAACGGGCCAGGCAGGCAATAATATAGCTTCAAGTCGCTTAGCCCTACGTTTGAAGCTAATTCCCACAGTCTGACCTCACTGATATTGCCCCAGTGGGTCCTGGCATCAAGCGGGAGGTAAAAATCATGACTCCTAGGTTGCTGGATGATTTTAAGCCACCCAGTGTGGCCTCCCCCAAAGGGAGCCAGAGACTTTTGACTCCCAGCTTGTCATCAGAGTCCCAGGGCTCTGCGTCTCTTATCCTCCTCGTCCTCCAGAGAGGCCTGATCAACAACAGCAGAACCAGAGGAACCTCTGCTCCGAGCTGCCTCCGCGGTGCCCACCCCATGTGGTATGCAGTGTTCTCTTCGTCCCCCTCCCTCCTGCTCTGTGGCAGAATTGATAAGAAACTCAGACGGAGTTGTCTGAGACCCTGAGCCATTTCTTTGGCATCCACGCCAAGACAGCTGGCAGCTGTCTGCTGCTCCATGTCCAGCATCCAAAGGGGCCACGTCCAAGGTCCTGACACACTGTGACAACCTCCCTTGCACCCGCTATCTGGCTGCAGATCTAGGGCCCAGACCCAGAGAGGCCCCCAAACCGTGGCCGGTGGCCCCAGGAGCAGATGGACTCTGGTTTCTCTCTCCTCCCTCTCCCGACCCCAGCGACTGGCAGCCGATGCCCCTCCCCCGACAATTGCGAAAAGGCGTCTCTGAACCCAAGGCACCCTGGGTGATTTTCTGAGCTCAACTCCAACCCGAGTAACAAGCCACATATGTGATTCTTAACCCTAGAACAGAACAGGGACTTTCCTCATGTGGTCGGTAGAGATGGGGGCCGGTTACCTTTCTCATTTCCCTATTTAAAAGTGAGGGCTCCTTGTCTTGCCTCTTCCTATTCAGGTGTCACGAGCAGTGGCCGTGGAAGAGGAGCCCAGCCCACGGGAGCCCCTCCATACTCTCCCACCGGCAGCAATCCCTGGGCATGCGCACGTGGCCACTGGGCCACCGGGCGAAAGACCAGGACGAACCTGACCAGCCACATTTCTGAAATCAGGGCCTCCTCTTCAAAGGGCACCATCTGCTGGAGGTATTTTCCTTTAAGACAAGTCCTCAGGTCTTGATTCAACTCTCCCCCATCACCTTGAGCCTTTCCTGTCCCCACCCCAAACTCTGTAGGCTTTGCCCCTAGCTAGCTGTGCACCTGGCCCTCCCGCCTGCAGAGACCTTGAAGACACTGGTTCTGATGGGCTCTGCCGTGGCACCAGCTCCTGGGACGGC